TCCACTACAGTCGACAGCCACAGGTGGACGCGCACGGCCCGGCGTCCACTACAGTCGACAGCCACAGGTGGACGCGCATGGCCCGGCGTCCACTACAGCCGACAGCCACGGGTGGACACGCAGGGCCCGGCGTCCACTACAGTCGACAGCCACAGGTGGACGCGCACAGCGACTTTAGCCGACAGCCATGATACGACTTTTCTAATTTTTCATTTATCACAATAAAATTGTGAACATTTAAAAATAACGTAATGGAAACATACATGTCTGTGTTACCTGTTCTGATTCACGTTACGAGTAGACCTGCCTGTAAAAAGTAAAACAAACTTTCAGTGCTTTAAAGCAGGGGTCCTCACACTTTTTAAACAGGGGCCAGCTCACTGTCCCTCAGACCGTTGGAGAGTGCGCACTGTGGGCCCGGGATGAGTTGGCTGCTAAGCAGGACAGGCAGCGGCAACAAAAACACCGAGAGGGCCGGATAAATTTGCCAGGTGGCCTGCATGTGGCCCTCAGGCCGTAGTTTGAGGACTCCTGCTTTCAAGCTTTCCTCATCACACAAGAGCAAAACGGACGCGTCGTCAATGCACGGCACAGACCGCCGTGCGGACTGTGAGTGCCGGCTGCGGGCGAGGTTTGGCGGCCGGTGAGCACCGTGCCGTAGCGGTCAAAAGTGAGCCTTCAAGGAAACTTCCCGGGGGGGGCTGGTATGGTCGTGCATGGTCTAATTGCCGGGAGGCTGCTCCGGGCCGAAGGGTTTGCACCGTTGCTTGGAGCCAGCATCCAAATAAGAGTTAAGTGTGTCCACCTTCGTATTGCCCGTGGCCTATACGTCCGCCCCTTTCGGCTGTTCCCAGAGATGTGGCACAGAATAAAAGCCATTTGCATTTTCCCATTGCCTGGAAGGTACCGGCCTTATTTATTTCCGACCTCTGTAGAACGCACAGATCTGCTCGTTGCCCCGGGGGGTCCGTCCCTTGTTCTTCGAGTGGGATCTACCTGCTGGGAGCCCCGGCCAGGACCCTGGCACGCCCATCTCGGGAGCTCAGGTTCCGGGCCAGGGGCCTTCAGACCCCGGCTCCTCGGGGCGGCCAGAGAGGGGAGGAAGAAACTCGGAAAGTCCAGAAACAGGCTCTCTTCTCTCCCCATCCTCTGAGACGCACATTCCCAGCTCCTGCGCCGGCCCCCTGAGGTCCCCGTCTTTGGCATGTCAGGCCCGGGGTGTTGCCGTGACCTACCCGCCCCCTCGCCCTCCCGACCACCGGATAGTTTCGCAGTTTCGCTTGCTGTCACGTCCCGTGACTTCTGTGCAGAAGGCGGCCGTGTCCCCGTGTCAGTCCGTTCTCCGGTGGTCCGGGCCACGTCACAGACACCAGCGGGAAGCTGGATCTGTACGACACTCTGCAGAGGAGGTTCTCGAGCCCTCGCGTGCGCGCGGAGACTGAGCCGCGGCGCTTAGTGGGTGTGCACGGGGCCGGGGGCGGGGGGCTGCGGCTGAGCCCCGGCGTGTGTGTGGCTTTGAAGGTGTCCCTGTACGCGTATGGCGGGCTAATGGTGGGACCCCACTTTCCACCTTCTCCCTCTTCATGAGATTACGCCGGCCGGCGGTGGGCACCAGGCTCTCCGAGGAGGAGGAAGAGACGATCGGTTTGGGGTGACTTTCTCTCCTGTCCCGAAATAGCTGTATGTCTGCATGTCTCGGAGACTCAGCCGAGACACAGTTGTTTTTTCTTTCCCCCCCTTTTTTTTTATCTGTTGCTCACCGTAATGCAAATACCATTTCCCTCTCCCGGCGAACTTCCCAGCTAGCCCGTCTTATGAATTAATCAGATTCAAGCAAACACCCCCATTTTTAAACTTTTGCAAAAAAAAAAAAAAAGAAATATTTAATAGGAACTAAGCAAAAGAAGAGGGGGGTAGAAGAAGAAAAAAAACCAAACCAGCTGCTGACACAGCTGTTTCTTTTCTTGTTTAATCCGGCTCGATATAAAGGTACCATATGCCGCTTAAAAACGATGATGGGAAAGATGAAATAATTTAAGAGAATAACAAGAAAATAACATGAATTGTCAGCATTCTGTCAGATTTCGGGGAAGGGAGCAGACAGGTGCGGTGCTGGCGTGTCTGGCTTTGCGCGGCGCCGGCAGCTCGGGTGCGAACGGCTCCTGACACGTGCGGAAGTGATGTGGGAACGTTTCTCCTCCGCTGCAGACGTCGGCGAGGAGGCCGGGAGAGCCGCGGGGGGCGGCCAGCCAGCGGGGCTGCTGCGGGACAGGAGCCTGGGCGCGGCCATGAAGGACTGCCCGTACTGCGGGAAAACTTTCCGGACCTCCCATCACCTGAAGGTCCACCTGCGGATCCACACAGGTGAGAGATCGGGGGGTGCGGGGGGCGTGCATGGGCGTGGCGGGGGGTGGAAGGAGGAGGAGGAGGAGGAGGAGGAGGAAGAGGAGGACCCCCCCGCCCCCCCACCCTGCCTCCTGTCCGTCCGGGTTAGGGTCTGACAGTCGTTGCCGGCCACTGAGGCCGGAAAGTTCTCCCCGGGCCACCCAGGCGTGGTGGGTCGGGACCGGCCCCGATGGCCTCGTTTGTCACCTGCCATGTTCCCCCCATGAAAACAAGGCAGGGTCTTCTATTTATTTTTCCCTCCAGAAGACACCGCAGGACTTTTTTTCAGGGCATGTGTTATTATTATTATTATTATTTTTTTTAAGTACAGCACAACCGTCTACATTGATGATTCAGATAGAGTGAAGTCGTCTTCTTCTGGAACATCATCCTCACTCTCCAAACCCCGAATCCCATCCCGAGTGTCTTGCGACTCTGTTTCCTTTAGAGCCGTGGGCCCCGATCTCTCCTGTGGAGCCACAGAGCTCTCGCGGGGCGGATGAGAAGGGCTGCTCGTCTTCTTTCCCGCCCCGCCATGACGACACGCACGGGTTGTGCAGACGCGCTGTGCAGCCACGCCCGTCGCTAGGGCTTATTTTCGGGGTGGGGCTTCTATGGCGCAAATGCTCAGAAATCCTGCAGGGGCTTATTTGATGGGTAGGTCTTGTCCTCGGGGAACCACGGTAGCGGTCACCCTCCCCAGTGACACAGCGACACACAGATGTAGCTTTCGAGTGGCCCAGGCCTTTGGCTCCAGGGCGGTCGCTGACTCTCGGGCGTGGGCGGTGGGAAGCCAGCTCAGACTCTGGCAGGTGTGGAAGGGACAGGAGCAGCCTCCCCAGGTAGGTGTCCAGGTGGACGGCGGGCCCATACCTGGGACCAGGTGGGTGGAGTCAGGGCCCCGGGAGCTACACGGAGTGCAGAGGTGTGTCCCCCCGAAAAGAAAGGCTGAGCTGGTCCTAGGCAGACAGGAGGAGGCGGCTGCAGGACCACTGTGGTTTTCTCTGGTTCTGGGCATCATGCTGGCTGAGGACGGGCAGTGGAGACTTCTCTGCTTGGACCCTCCAATGGTCTCCGTCCTCTTTAGCGTTTCTGTTGGTTGCTCGCACATGCACAATGTTCCTACCCCCAAAAAATCAACCGGAGATATGGACACCTCCATTTTCTTTGATTTTTTTCTTCTGACGCTTGATCTATCTGGAGCATGAGCTGCCGCAGAGGCTAGGCAGATATGCCGCCTGTTTTCAAAAAATAGCGGTGGTGTGTTTCTCGGGGAATCGATACAGCCGCCCGGGGTTGCTCGGGGGTATTGAGTGACCCACGAGGGCCTCGTGTGTGTGTCCTGTGGTGAAAGGCAAGAAGAGGGGCCCTCACCTGGGCTCTCACCTGGTGCCTACGCATCTCCCCGGCACCGAGGGGACCCTGAGGATGGGCGGGCACAGGCTGCTCCCGGCTCGGCGCCGGGCAGAGCGTGGGCGGGCGTGGTCCCATGCCCCGAGTACCGTGGCGTCAACCTCGCTCACAGCAACCTCCAGCTCCTGGGCTCAAGCGATCCTCCTGCCTCAGCCTCCCGAGTAGCTGGGACTCCAGGCATGCGCCACCACGCCCGGCTAATTTTTTCTATAAAGTTTTAGTTGGTCAATTAATTGCTTTCCATTTTTTTAGTAGACACGGGGGTCTCGCTCTTGCTCAGGCTGGTTTCCAACTCCTGACCTTGAGCGATCCTCCCCCCTTCGGCCTCCCAGAGTGCTGGGATGACAGGTGTGAGCCACCGCGCCCGGCCGAGAGGGGTCTTTTAAAACTCTGCAAAAAACTCCCTCCGCTCTCCCAGAAGGCCCTGGGCCACCCAGGCCCTAGCTCACTTCCTAATGCATCCTGCACCGTTCTTCATCCTCCTCTTCTCTCTTCTCTCTGAGATGCGGCTAGCCTCCCTCCTGGGCCTCCGGTGCAGCTGTTTTGTCTTCCTCCTGCAGGGACTCGTGCCTGCCACTGCCCACCTGGGACGCCCTTCCTCCCCGGGCTCCCTGGGTGCTTAGCCTGACTACGATCTGTTCGGAGGGACCATCCCTGACCACCCCGTCCTAAAATACCCCTCAGGCTCCCTGCTCCGTTTTTCTCCGTGTAAACTTAGCACTTGCAGACATGATCTTGCTCGGGGCGAGTGTTTTGTTTGTTTGTCTCGCTGACCGCCGCCCCCCGCTGCCCCCTGCCACAGAGTCTCAGCTTTGCCAGGGTGGCAGTAGCACCCGTCTTTGCAGCTGCTATCGTTTCTGTAACCCCCCGTGCCTGCAACAGAACCTGGCACCCAGTGGGGGTCACAGTGATTTATCTGGAAGGTTGAGTGACAGAACCAGTGCCCCAGTGAGTGAGTGACTTTATGCCGTCATCCCAGTGCTGCTCCAGGGGGCAAGCAGGGGTCAAGTGCACTAGGGAAACTGGCTTTTTCCCCACGCATGGGACCATCGGGAAGCCAGGTGCCGGCTTCCTGGGTGCCGACGGAAGGGAAGATGCCCTTCTCTAGCAGTGCGAGGTTAGGGCGGGTCCCCGAGTTCCCTAGGGTTTCTGCACTTTGCACTTCTCTGCCAGACACCTGCGTGGCCGGCTCCTTCCCTTTTGGGGTGCCCCGCGCAAGGTGCAGGATGCCGCCCCCTTCTCTGGGAGGCGCTCCCTTCCCTTTCCCGCCTCGGTTTCCTCCCTGGCCCTCACCGCCCCTCCCCCCATCTGATCCGGCTGTCGTGAACGGCAGTGTGATCTCCGTGAGTGCAAAGGTTGTGTCCATTTGCCCACCTGTGTTCCCGGGGCTCGGCCCAAAGTGTGCACCCGGGAAAGCATTTGCCGAACGAAGGAATGAGCAAGTGGATCGGTGGGAAGTGACCAGGCTTGAGGGAAGTCAGTGTGGATGCCTGGGTTTCTGAGATTAGAGCACAATGCCCGTTTTCCTCCCCGGATTGGAGCCAGTGTCCCCGTTGGGTTGGCATGGCTGGTGGTGGGGGGGACCCGCAGGCTTCCGGGACAAGGGAGTCTAATCCACGGGGCAACCGGTGATGATTTGAGGTGTGGGCAGGACTCTGTAACCCAGGCCAGGTGTGACTAATGTCTTACGAGATGCAGTGACAGAACCCGGGGCCGGTTCCCAGCTGTGTGGGTGGTGGCTCAGCACGGTGAGGTCCCCTGAAGGCAGGGAGGCTCCACTTGCAGGTGAATCGGAACCGGAGAGCCCGGAAGTCCGGGGGTACCTGGGTCGGAGCAAATGGATGCTGCTTGTTTTTTGCTTTTTTTTGCAGTTTTAAAGCTTGAGCAAGATGCATTTTTTTTCCAAACTTCTGCTTCACAAACTTCAGAAGTTTGCAGTCTTTAAAGACACCGAGGGGGAGGCAAGACAGGGCCGTGGACCAGGGGGCAATTCTGGAAACTTCCTAGACTGAGGGAGAAAAATGAAAGAAGCCATGGAAACACCACACCACCTCCACCACCCCTTGGAAACCGCACTCTCAGCGTTTAAGAGGCAGAGAGAGTAACCAGATAAAGATCAGTCTCCTTTTTATCCAAGAACAAAGAAGTTGCAAAATGCTTACACTTGTGCCTCTGAATAGAACAGAAAGTGTTACATGCTATAAATCGCCCAAGTAAACATTCATTATGACAAGGTAAAAGTGTCGATTACGCGAGCAATTAAAAATCAAAACCGAGTTATTTGCTAATAAACGATTTCACTGTGGGGCTCGGGCTGGTGAGCCGCCCCCTCCCCGGACTGCCTTCCCTTCTGCCCTCGTTCCTCTGTGGTCTCTCTCCTTCCGCCCCAGAATCTGAGCTCCCCGTGAGATATATAATTTGGTATTTTTCAATGGACGCGGCCAGAGGACCGCGAGAGACCCGTGAGATAAAAACGCACGTTCTCCAAAATGCCATCGTTTGAAATCTCCGTATAATGGAGCCATACGAGCACATTAAAAAAAAAAACCAAAAACCAAAAAACAACCCACGTGCACTATTAATAAATGTATTTTAATTGGCTTGGAGAGGAGGTGGCACCTTCTCTGAATTTTCCTGTCCCACTCTGTCTTTATTAGGAGTTCTTGATCACAAAACACTGACGGATAGAAACCACTTTGCTCCTTGTCTCCACTGCATTAACTCAATTACCGCGCTTCTCCTAACATCTGTCTATGAGGGAGGTGCTGCAGACTCGGGCTGCAGTCGGGCTGCTCCGCACGCCTGGGGCCGGGAGGACCCCGCAGGTAGTTAGGGCAGGTCTGCCGTCCCCGGAGCTTCAGCCGGGTCCAGGGGACTGCAGGAGGCACCTGCAGGGACCCCGGGCTGGCCTGCAAGGCCAGTGAGCCCCCCGGGGCTGTGTCGCCACCCCCTCCCCCCCGGGTCCAGGTGGGGTAGACGCTGGCTGCTCCCCAGCCCTGCAGGGGGTGGGAACTTCTCTCCTCTTGGAAGCGTCACCCTGGGCGGGTTCGGACCGGATCGCCGGGCGCCAGGCAATGTCTCTTCTAGAGCACGACGCCCGGATTCGAACTCGGACCCACACTCGGGGCGGGCTCAGGATGGGGGCTGTGGCCGTCAGGGCTCTTGCAGGGAAACAGAGGCATTTAGGAGATAGGTACGTAGAGACAGGTAGGTGGGTGAATTGTCGCGTGATGCATTGGCTCACGTGGTTTTATAGAGGCTGAGAAGCCCCGAGATCTGCAGGTGGCGAGCTGGAGACCCCGGAGAGGCCCCTGGTGGACGTCCCGGCCCGAGGCTGAGCCCAAAGGCAGAAGACCTGCGTCCAGTCCCAAGACAGGCAGCCGGAGCAGGCTCCCCCTCACTCAGCCTGTTTGTTCTATTCGGGACTTCAGCACACGGGGAGGGCGATGCGTTTGACTCAGTGTACCGACTCCCATGTCAGTCTCACCCCGAAACACCCTTAACAGACACACCTAGAACAACAATCTAGAACAACCCAGAACATTCCAGAACAACCCAGAACATTC